CCTATAATGCAGATATTGTTCCTTTTGGATTGGTCACACAGTTCTCTTAATATTGTTTCATTCCTGGAGATTCTTTTATCTCTCTCTGGGTCAGCTTCTATGCGTTCCTGTTCTCTGGTTTCTATTCCATCAATGGCCTCTTGCATCTTATCCATTCTGCTTATAAATCCTTCCAGAGATTGTTTCATTTATGTAATCTCCCTCCGGACATCATCCCTTAGCTCTTGTATATTTCTCTGCAGCTCCGTCAGCATGGTTATGACCTTTATTTTGAATTCTTTTTCAGGAAGACTGGTTAGGTCTATCTCCTTCTTAGGGGTTAACTCTAATTTTGGTCTGTATCAAATTCTTCTGCCTTTCATGGCGATAGAGACAGTTTTTGGAGCTGGCGCGTGTGTTGGCTGGGTGAATGTCCCTTCTTGCTGGTTTGTGGCCTTCCTCTCCTGGGAGAACAGCGACCTCTAATGGCTTGTGCTGGGCAGCTGCGTACACATGTGGCTTCTGACTCTTGCCCAGCCACTGTAGAGTTTAGCTCCGTGGTTGCTGTTGGCGTGGCCTGCCTCAGGCTGCTGCTCCAATATGGCAGAGCCGTGTCAGAGGGGAAACAGCCGGGAGGCTGTTTATGTTCATGAGGGGCCTCTGAGCTGCGTTGCTGCCCAGGGGGTTAGGGTGCCTGGAGTTCCCCGGGATTCCCAGTTGCTGGGCTAAGTGTCCCGGGATGCTTCCAACCATCTGTGGGGTCACTGTCCCTTTAAGACGTTCAAAAAGCACTCGCTTTTCTTTGTGCCAGGGGAGCCGGCTGCGGGGACCTGCTCACAGGTCTTACTGTCCTGTTTCCCTAGTATCCAGCACCCCACACATGCACTGTGTGTCTGCACTCTGGTGCGGATGGCTAGGGCTGGCTACTTAGCTGTCCTGGGCTCCCTCTCCCTTCCTGCTCTGACTCCTCTCCTCCCGCCGGGAGCTGGGGTGTGGGGCACTCGGATCCCGCCGGGCCGCAGCTTGTATCTTACCCCCTTCGTGAGGCGCTGGGTTCTCGCAGGTGTGGATGTAGTCTGGCTGTTGTCCTGTGTCTTCTGGTCTATCTTTTAGGAAGAGTTGTATTTGTTGTATTTTCAAAAATACATATGGTTTTGGGAGGAGATTGCTGCTGCTCTACTCATGCCGCCATCTTGGCTCCACCCTCTTCTAGTTAACTTTTAACTTTTACTTCACATCTTCCTCGTATTTATCCACTTCAGTTCCAAGTTTCTAAGATTCTTACTTGAGAGATTTTTTTTTCTTTTCATTTCTGCAAAGGCCTAAGGATGTTTAATATAGGTCATGGTATTCTGTTAAAGATAACTACCTCATTGTTGGTTTAGGAGAAAATCTTTTAATAGCTAAAATGTTTTGAACCTTATTTTCTATTTTGTTCCTTGTGGCACCTTTGTATATACATCATCTGCAATTTCTTATTTAGCATATAGTTTTCATTTTCCTTCATTAGCAATAGAAATTGCATGCAGTAAGTGTAAATAAAGACTTGGGATTAATACCTAGCTTTCTAGTTCAAAAGCTCCCTATTCTGTACTCAAACTGAAGGGGGTTATTAGTATTCTAATTTTATGCTTTCTCTATTTATACAGAACACTTAATTTCCCCACCTTGTTTCCTTCTTTCCTTTCACCACCAAGTCTACAAGGTAGAACAAATTCATCCCCAGCAATGGCACTGTCCTAATCTTTTGCCTAGCATCCTAAGTCCTTGTAAGTCTCTTCCTTTTAATTTCCCAAAAACCAATGCTCTAACTGAATCTAAGACCAATTAGATCTTAGTATTTTCCCACTAATGCAGGACTTTTACTTTCTAAAAGCAATTTTAATTTTGTACTATCACCCCTGAGTTCCTGGTTCAATCAATTTCTCTCTTGTCTTTTCCATATAGTCTCTACAGTCTCTCTATAAACAGTCGGTTATGGGCTCTAAAGTTGGGTAGGCTAGACTTTGATATTTATTATTTTCCATAATACTTTGAAGTTCTTAGTCTATATCTTAGTTATGCTCATGGCAAACATTATATTACTTGATTATATTTATGTCTGTTGATTTGTATGCATTTTTAGAGAATATGTGGGAAAAATCAGATTAAGATGGCCACCACTATTCTATAGCAATTGAAGAGTCTGAATTCATCAAGAATTGTCAATGTCTTTCTAGCTGACCATTTTCTCTAGTTTAGTCTAACCTCCTTTATTCTTCAAATGCTATGTTCATTTAGTAACAACTGAACCTTTGGTGATTTATGATTAGCATCAGTCATAAGCCCTCATGGGCTATGGACACAATAACTAAAAAAGTCACATAATAGAAAAATATGTAAAGGAGATGAACAACATAATAAATTCACCTTGCAAAGAAACCTATCACTTCTGTGATACATTTGATAACAGGGTAAAAAAATGTGTCTAGATATTATTATGAAGGAATACAAAGTAAAATAATTTTTTGTTTCCATAAAAACAGCAGCAATCTTTCATGCTCAGTAACTGCAGAATTAAGATTGCTATTGAAAAATAGTTGATAATAAGTTCCAAAGTCCCTTACTTAGGAAATAATTTTGATACATGACAGTTAAGTAAATATTAAAGACCTAAAGCAGACTAAAAGTAAATGACAACAGAAAGTTATTACTACACAAGACTCACAGTGATCTAAATTAGCAGCTTGTTTACATAACTTGATAGCTTAAGATTAGCCTAGAAAGTAGCCACACATCAATGTAATGAAAAAAATAAAGAAGAAGGGCTAAGAAATAAACTAAGAATTCAACAGGTATTATTATAAGGTTAGGAATATGGAGCTATACACTAAATGCTTTCTTCTTCAAAGACAGATAATTGATGATTTCTCATGGGGTTGTCCTATAGAAAATAAATAATTATGTGACTTTTGTATGAAATAGCAATTGTCATCAGACAATTAACTAAACAATGTTAATGCAGCTTGCAAAGAAACCTATTGCCTCTGTGGTGCATATAAAGGTAAATAAGGCAATGAGATACAGGAAAACAGCGTAATCCTTCAGGAAAAGAATTTAAGGTGTGTTGTTGATCATGCTAGCATTGTTTTGTGATCCCCATGCTCCAATAATGGAATTAAATTTTTATTATGAATGGACCGTTAATTTTCCACATCTTTGGGACTCTTATTTATGCATGTAGTTTGTCTTATAAGGTGATTTAGATGTTTAAGGACAATTTCTGTCAATTTTTAGGGATGAAAATGTGTGGACTATTGTTTTACATTTTCAAATAAGCATGAAATAGAGTGATCATACTACAACTCAATAAATATTTACTGAAAATCTTCTAACTACTCTCTGAAATAAGAGAGACCCGAATAAACAGAGACTAATTTTTTTGGCTAGTAGCCTTCATATATTTACTAGAAACTTTTAAAACTGAGAATATGAGGTATTCATATGAATGAATGAATGCTTCTATATTAATTTAGATCAGATTTACACAAAATGCTTGCTTCAAAAAAATGTTTCCATAAAATCTAGTAAGTACACAAATTTTCTGACTCTTGTTTAAAATTCTGACATATATACTTAATGTTATCAAAAACTTATGAAAACCACATTGAAGTCTTACATCAAAGTAAAAATTCTGAGTTCAGATTACGATCATTTGTAATATACAATTCAAATACACTAAAGTCTCACAATGTAAAAATTTTAAAAGCATAATTTCACTCCTTTCAGCAATGTCCTTTCCAATGACAGGTTAGCAGACAGTAAAATAAAATGTTAGGTTTAAATTTCCATTACACATATTACCATTTTACACTTGTATAGAAAGGAAAAATCAGTCTTTCTTGGTCAGGTGCAATTCTGGTGCAAACAGTGATATTTTTAGTTAAAATAACTGACACTAAGGAAAAATTATGAAACTAGAAGGGCTCTAGAAAAAACAAAAGCCAGGATGGATTCACCTAATTAGATTTTTTATAATTCTACCTACCTTTATGATGACAGAATAGAAATGGATTATTCACCATAATAATAGAAATTAATGAACAAAAATATGATGGATCAAATATAACAATGTAATGTGTTTAGTCAGTGAAGAGTTGTGTGATTCTTATCCCTAGTATTATTTGCCATACCACCAAAGATCAAATCTTCCCTCAATTTTAAGGGATTTTTAGATGACTACTGATGGCTCTTTCCAATTATACCTAAGTATACAGAATATTTTAAAGTGAAATTATTAAAAATAAGCTAAAATTGCAGAAAAAAAAATTTCTGGTGTTTTAAGTTTCCTTCTGTTTCTCCTCCCCAGTCTCTGAAAATACAAACACACAGAATTTTTTAAAGAGCAAATGTAGGTGTTAAGAGGAAAAACAACTATTGGTGCTTATCTGTTGGAATGAAATAATGGCCTCTGTCTGGAACTGGTGGTAATGTCATCACCAACAATCAATTCCTCCTTTCTTTTGCCTATCAACTTGGCTTTTGTACTTTGGGGGTGAGGAAGGAGTGTAGGAGGGTGGAACATGGAAAACAACCTCAGCATTCAGGGATAGGATTCAAAAGAATTCAAGTTATGTGAATGCAGCTTATGTGCTTAACTATATACCAATTCTGAATGACTATTGATTCTGATTTTTTTTGTCCAACATTTGAAACTTAATGGAACTTACTATTCTGAGCCAGGGCTTGAAGCAGACAATCCAAGCATCCTTCTAAACTATCCTCAGTTCTGTCAACAGCTGTTATCTTCAGCTTCTTCAAGGTATCACTGAGATTATCTGTTTACAGAAAAAAGAGAAATCAGTAACCCCACTAACATATGACCATCATGTCACATAATAAACAGTTACCATTAACAAAGGGCATCTCAGTATAGTGAATTATCTTCTAAATATATTTCAAAATGACAATAGACTGTACTATTACAAATTTTTTATATAAAATTTTATCTATTCAACTCAGATTATGAAATATTCATTCTGTATATGTAAGATACCAGGAATATTCCAGATTTTATCACAGAACATCTTTTTTAGAATTCTTTTAACTTACTTAGCTTGTTCAAGGGAACCAGCCATGGTTAATTGAAAAAAGCTAACAGTCCACAAGAAAATTATATAGCTTTGCAAATATCTTTTTTTCAGTTTTGGCATCCTATGGTGTATTTGAAAGACATAAAATAAAAAGACATCACTTATCTTATTAAGACTCTTTTTAACTATTGGAAAGCTGTCAAGCTCAAGGTGATAGAAGTTTTCCAAAATTCTCATTTCCTCTTAAAAACTCTAATTTTATCACCAGCAACAAATACTACCAGTTGCTTTCCTTAAATGACAAATTAACATCATTCATTTGTGAGACAATGTCTGCTAAATATAAGACCAGTTTATCTGTCAGTTTTTTCTAACAAAGGTTATTCCATGGGAAAAAAATGTACCTTGGTCAGCTCACAACTCAAATAATTGCACAAGTGCTTTTTCTTCCAAATGACCATCAGATCTCACAAAGTAATGAAAGTGTTTTTTGTATACTGCCCACTTCATCACATAGAATATTTTTTAAATGTGTACCCAAAGGTTGAGATTTTTAAAAACATTTTTTTCCTGTTTCATTATGGACATTCTTAAGTGAAACTGTTTTGTTTTGTTTTGTTTTGTTTTGTTTTGTTTTGTTTTACTTGAAGTATGTGATGGTGAAGAATACCATAACTACCACTATGATTCGGTGCTACAAAACACCAGCAGTTTCTTACTCACAACTGCTTTTGCACCACTGTCAATTTGAATGTCAAAACAGTGAAAAAGACAATGTGTTGATGGTATTCAAAGTCATGATCACTATAAGAGGAATCCAAGAACCCCTAGAATTGCTGCTCTAGAATTAGAATTTCAGGCATATTCTTATTTCAAAAGTAAATAGTTTAATAGACTTTTGTACATTGTAGCTCATGACAATTCTAAAAATATGACAGAATTCTCTGTTATAAAATGAGAGATAGTTTACTTTCCATGTCAACTGAGAAAAAGTAGACTTAAAGATTTACATCAAGTAATATCAACATGCTCTAGTGATGCCTAGTATACAACCTGTGACTAATCTAGTAATCATAAACCTACATTTAATTAAAAATCCCAGGTTATCATTCACAACCAAGATTAATATTTACTTTCTTAAGAGGGACCAAATAGTTTTGGGAACTTGATTTTTTCTATGTCTTCTATAAGCTAACAAGAAGTAGTAGATTATGAAATCTCAGATATACATGATAAATCTTATTAAGTGCATATTAAGTTGATTTTTTAAATTAAAGCATAAATAACATATGATACCTAAGCTCATATTATTAAAAGTAATAAAAAGTAATTATTGCACAACACTGAGGAAAAAATAAAACATATCCAAACTAAAGCAATTCACAAATGATCAGTCAACAAGTAATAAAAGCAGTTAAGACTGACTTAATACTAACTAAGCATCTGGATCTAATTTTTTCCTTTCCTTTACCCAGTCTCCCTTGCTTGACATCCCCTTCTCATCAAGTCTCAGCCTGGATGTCACCCCAAAGACCACTCTTGCCCATTCTAAGTCTTTCCACCTTCCTTAGTCCTCCAGGATAATTCTCTATCACTGCAGCCATCTTCCACAGCACTATTCACAATTTGTAGTTACGTGCTTTTTTGTTTAATTGCTAACCTATGCTCCCCCACTATATTGTATAGGACACCTTATTAATTACATCATTGCATTGTAGCTACCACTTGGTACACAGGAGGTATCCAGGATATATTTATCAAATTAAGTGAGTAAGGGAATGAATTCTTTTTTTTCAGAAAGCTGTCTAGTTACCATCTTTTGTATCACACACTTAAAAGTCAAAAGTGTGCCAATCAGGAAAGGAAGACAAATGTGATCTGCTTAGCACCTTTTATGCATTTACAGAATTATAAATACAGGATCTCATATTTTAAGAAGGATCAATGGAATCAAATTAAATATTTAAGAATATAAAATACATAACTAAAAACTATATAGGACATCTTACTTTTAAAATATTTCTTCTCAATTAAAAAAGATTCAGTCTCTTAATGGGAATAATTATATGCCTGTTAATGATGTGAGATCTTTTTAGGTAAAGGTCATTAAATTCTTCATCCACAGATAACCAAAGCTGTCAAGAGAATTATTACAAATTTAATATGATTTTAGACTTTTTAAATGAACGAAAAAGTTACTACTTAAAGAAATATTCCTGTGCATCATTTTATAAAATGAAGTATTAAAATGTTCCACATCTTGACTGAAATAGTAATTAAATGAATATATACATTTATCAAAGTTTATCAAACTATACATTTAATCTGTGCATTTTAGTGTGTGTAAATTATACCTCAATTTTAAAAGAACATATTGGAAAATAAAACGATTGGGGCAGGCACTCCTTTCTCAATGGCCACAAGCTTCTTGATGAAGGAATTTCTATTACACTGACACTTCTGGTCATTTCTGCCTCCTTACTTGGCAACTGCCCACCACCACCTCTGTTCTCCAGGAGAGGAATTATTTCCCTGATTAATATATTGAGAAAGAAGAAATGAATATGCATGACTCTGCCCCTTCTCGGTTCCTCAACTTTTAGCAGTGGGAAGAATTCTGTTTCTCCATACCTTTAGCTGTACAGCTGTAACAGTGACAAGATTAGTAAATATGTCTATTTAGCCTGTAAGTATTAACAGCAGTCCCCATGGCTATATAATTAAGTCCTATCTTTTATTCTAGACTTCACAAATTTTAAAGCAGTTATTTTTAATTCTATCAGAGGACTTATTTGCTTATGATTGTGATTATGAAAGCAGTGATTATGAGCTTGGGTGAAGAATAGAGGGTATTGTATTTGGACTCCCTCAAATCATGGCAGTATATAAGTAGTGAATTCTTAGTATCCAAATTTTTTATGTAAATCCAGATTCCTGTATTTTAAATTTACTTATGATTTAAGAGAGTGAAATTGTTTTAACAGAAAATTTCCCAGCTTCTGGCTGGTAGTGGGGGGTGTTAAGTTGATAATGATAATTATCATGGGATGTACTAGTACACCATGAAGTATTAAATAACCCAATTAATTTTTTTTTCTTAAAAGAATAATCTCTTTGCCATATAACAGCATTTGGTCTAGCTTATCTTGTGAAAGACAATAGGATTCTTCGAACAGTTAAAGCAAAGTTGACTTTGGTTACTAATTTTGTGTCTTGTTTCTTAACCACTTAATTACTCTTAAAACCACAATCTAACCAAGTCCTCTTAAAACTCAATCAAAATTACCCTGGCAAGGTCTTAAATGATATCTTGAAAAATCCAATGCATGTTTCTCAGTCCTCTTACCTATATCTTTATAGCAAAAGGCTCTTTTCTTTTTTGATAGTATCTTCTCTTGACTTCAAAACACCAGTCTCTGAGCATCTTTTGAAGTTCAGTCTCTGAAGTTATCATTTTCTCCTCTGTCTGCCCCCTTAATGTTAGTGTGACCTCAGTTTGGTTCAGAGTCCTCTCCTCTTCCTGAGTAATGTATACATGCCCAGCAGAATGTTAGATTGGTATGCTGGCTTTCCTTCTTTTATCCAGCTTCTTTTATCTACTCAGCTGTACCTATCAATGTAAAGAATTGCCACTTTTTAGGCCTTACTACATTTGGATAAAATCTGACTGCAATTTCTGATAACCCAAATCAGCAAGCTAGCTGTCATTCCAAGTGTTCTTTCTGGGAAGCCCTTGCTAAAGATATAAAGACAGCTAGCTATACTTTCCTGCTAGAACTTTCAAACCACCTTGCTGAGCCCATTCTTTTCTCTGATAAGCATGTATACCATAAGGCACCAGAGGCTCTTTATGCTCCAATTTCTCTACTCTGTAAGCCAGAAACTCAATTTACTGGTCTTTAAGTATGTATTGCAATGGAAGAGTTTTAATAAGCCCTAAAATTTTACAGGTTTTGGTTCCTGTCTTTTCTTAATATTACTCTAAGAAAAATTAATGAGAAAAGGAAGGTAATTTTTATATTTAAATAACTGATTATAAAAGTGCTTAAGATTATCACCATCATCGAAGAATATGCCTGACTGTGAGCAAAGATGGTACCAAATGACCAGTCTCAATATAAGACAGTGTCATCTTAACCTAGAATTAAGTCCTGAAATTTATTCTTTATGCTATTTATGGTAGCATAATTTTAAGAATTTATCTTCCTCACACATATTATCTAAAAATGGTATGTTTAGTTTCAAGGTTGGATCTAAAAATACAGTAAATAGTTTTAACTGTTAATCAATTATTTCTATCATTTTATTACATACTAGTAGATAGATGGATAGATGATAGATTGACTTTCTCACACCATACCATATGTCGGTCCCACTAGATTACTAACTATTTCCCAGGCATACCTCTACATTTGCACAACTGTACTAATTAAGTTCTTCCTGCCTAAAATGCTTCTTGTGCATTTTCCATCTATAGAACGACTACTTACTCTGCAAAGACAACTAATGGTAATACTGATTCTTATATGAAATAAGAATCTTCTGTTTCTAGGCTCCTACATTTTGTTCACAATCTCATGATGTACTGATTTCATTGTTTTCCATATGGCTACTGTTTCACTAGAACAAGCAACTCATGGACAGAGAATGTAGCACATTTTAGTGATTAACAGTACAACTTCTGGAGTCAGTCCATCTGGGTTCAAATCCTGACTTCACCACTTAAACTGTATAAACTACACAAG